GGGACTCCTTGAGGCCCCTAAACCAAAAACTCCCAAACCTGTTGCCATAGAGTCAATTCCAACTCATAGTGATGTTATAGGACAGAGTAGAACTGCACCCTAGGGTTTCCAAGGAACGGCTGATGGATTTGAACTGTTGAACTTTCGGTTATGGAATTCTTAACCACTGCACCACCAGGTTTTTTCCTACATTTCAGCAATCATTTTTCTTCTTCCAGACTAAAGATGCAACCTATAATTATTTCATTCATTACAGGAAAGTCAAAGGCTATCTAAGGATGCTACTATGCTAAAAATAGCAAATTTATCATGTCAAAGACACTCAAGAAGGAAGTAAATGAAGGTCTTGTGAGACTCTTCCATAGAAATTGGGCTAAAAAAGTAAGGCGGGACAGTATATAAGGGCCTTGAAGCTGAAGGAGACAGCAGACCTCACTCTCACCCCGACTCCTCTCTCCTCACTTCACCTGAGTCCTCTCTACTGACAGCATGGGGTGCTGTGCTTGTGGAAGTTGTGGTGGTGGCTGCGGTGGCTGCAGTGGTAGCTGCGGTGGCTGCAGTGGCTGTGGCGGCTGCACCACCCGCAGGTGCTACCGGGTGGGCTGCTGCTCTGGCTGCTGCCCCTGCTGCTGCAGCGTCCCCGTGGTCTGCTGCTGCCGCCGCACCTGTAGCTCATGTGGCTCGTGTGGCTGGGGCTGCGGGAAGGGCTGTTGCCAGCAGAAGTGCGGCTGCAAGAAGCAATACTGCTCCTAGGAGGGCAGCCCGGTCCCTGGAGTAAGAGATGCTGGGAGTTTTGCTCAGGCCATTTGATAAGCCTTTCCTTCATCACTCCTGTCTGCTTTCTCCCTGCCTTCCCTACCTGAATGTCTTGGAGCTGATCATTCTGTCCTTTGTATATCTAATACTCTGAAGTTTCAGAGTCGTTTTTTTCCCTTCAGAGTGACACCATGACTACATCAAATTCTACTCCCTTTATCTTCCACAATTTAGCATCTGGGAGGTACGTATTCTCTGACGTCTTTGTAATCTTGTCTCCATTTGGAAAATAGATGAAAGACTATGATATACTATCAACATTAGGGTTGGAAGCACAGCAACCCATGTAAAAATCTACCATGAGTTTAACAAAATAAAATCATATCTAATATTTGGTTTTCTTGAAAAAATTACTTCTGATTAACTTTTTGTTCTTTTGTATTGTACATCCACTAACTTCTCTCCTATTTCTGTCTTTATTTTTTAAAAGGCAACTCTTTCTTAATAGAAGCTATAAAATTCCTACAAAAATAATCTCGCCTTATTCCAATGTGTCTCTGTTCTATAAGATGGGTGAGGCCAACCATTGGGGAAGAAGACAATGGATGATATTTCAGTAGGCTTGGGATGGGTTTCAGTTAGTGAATGACTGTTCCTAAACTTTCCTATAATGAATTTTACAATAAAGACAGAAATTTGGGGGCAAATCCCCAAATCTTTGGTCATCAATGTCGTGGAGGGAAATTCCTGTTCTTTCCTACAAGTTCTCTCTGGCTGTAGGTTTTGAGCAGCCCCAGCAGAGCATGTTTTACCTTCACTCCTTCCCTCCATGTATTTTTTACTCTCATTCATATGTGAGTCAAGGAAGCCTGGTGGTGCAGTGGTTACGCTAACCAAAAGGTCTCTGGTTCGAGCCCGCCAGCTGCTCCTTGAGAGAAAGATGTGGCAGTCTGTTCCCGTAAAGATTACAACCTTGGAAACCCCATGGGGCAGTTCTATCCTGTCCTATAGGGTAGCTATGAGTCGGAATCAACTCGAAGGCAGTGGGTTATAGTAGGTCAGGCAGTCAGCCAGACACTAGAGAGCTAAAGATAAAAAGCCCTTGAATTCTGTCTAAGCTTCCTGGTGCTGCTATAACAGAAATACCAGACGTGGGTGGCTTCGACAAACAGAAATTTATTTTCTCACAGTTTAAGGGGCTAGAAGTCCAAATTCAGGGCGTTGGCTCTAGGGCAAGTCTCTCTCTCTGTCGGCTCTAGGGGAAGATCATTGTCTCTCTCAGCTTCTGTTACTGGTTTCCCTGGCGACCTCCACGTGGCATCTATCTTTCCTGCATTGTGCTTCCTTTGTGTCTAAACTGCTCAAAAGTCATTAGGTTTAAGACACACCCTACACTGATATGGCCTCATTAGCATAGCAAAAAAAACCCTATTCCCAAATGGGATGACATCCATAGGTATAGGGGTTAGCATTCCAACACAGACTTTTGGTGGAATACCATTCAATCCAAACATCTTCAAAGAGCAGACATTTAAGAGGGAAAGAGATACACTGGAGTCAAATACAATGGCACCTTCCCAATGTCAGGTTTTCTTCACCTGGTCCCTGTCTCTCCACTCCTAGACCAACTACATGTTCAAGGAGATTTTTCAAGTATGTTATTGCAGCCACATTGTTGAGTACCAACCAAGAGGCCCTGGTTGCTTTTGTTCACTAAGCTGCCCAAGTAAGCAGTTTCCAGAGTCCACAGTGTTTGTCATTTGGCTTCCCAGCATCATTGACACAACTGATCACCCCCTTCTCTCTAAGAAACTTCCCTCCCCTCTCTAGGAGGCCACCCCGGTTGGGGCGCCTCTCCTTTCCTGCTCCTCCTCAGCCCCCTCTGCAGGTTCTTTCTCTCCGCTGGAGCCCCAGGGCTCAGCTCCTGGTCCTCTTCTCCACCATTCTCCGCCTCCATCTGGACTTGTATCCTTGAGCACTTATCACTTTCTAACACACTCTAAAATTTATAAACTTCTCAAGTTTACTGTTTCCTGTGCCCTCTGCCTCACCTCACCTCTGGCAACAATGTAAGCTCTACAAGGCAGGGATCTTTAACTCATTCACTGCTGTACCCTCAGCAGCTAGAACAGTGTCTGACACATAGTAAAAACCAACCCACTACCATCGAGTAGACTCCAACCCAGAGCAACCCCATAGAGTTTCCAAGGCTGTAAATCTCTACAGAAGCAGACTGCCACATCTTTCTCTTGCGGAGATGCTGGTGGTTTCGAACCACCAATCTTTCAGTTAGCAGTTGATCACTTTAACCACTGTGCCACCAGAGCTCCTTTGGCACATAGTAAGTTCTCGTTAAATAACTTCTTAACGAGTAAATGATTTTTCAAGCCATTTTTACTATGAAAAATGTCATACAGTGTAATAAATTCCTAAGAACCATCCCCCAAGTCAACAGTTATCAACACACAGCCAGTCTCTGGTCCTCTATACCCCCACTCCCACCCCTTCCACCACCACGTTATATAGCATCTAATCCAGACCTTGTGGTATCTCATCCTCAAATACTTCTGTATATGTTTCTAAGATTCATCATCTCTTTCTCTGTCTTAGGCTCTGGCTGTAAGATATTATAGAAACAAAGAAGTAAACTTATCTAGGTCCAACCTGAGCTCCTCTCTCAGAGAATGGTGTGAGTTACATGTGTAATAAGGAAAGGCATGCGGCTACCATCAGACAAAAGGAGCCGTGCCTCTTCCAAGCCCTTGGCAACAGTCACTGCTCACCCAGATGGAAGCCAGGGCAGGTGGCGTAATGAAGGAAGTAGGGCTTTGAGGTCAGACATTCAGGTGTTTGGATTCCAGTTCATCAACTTGCTTAGTAGATGTTGGGAAATCTCGAGCTCTGGGAGTCTAAGTTTCCTTATTTTATAACAGGAGGAGAAGAGCTGCTAAACATGATGGCAGATGAATGACCTGTCTCAGAGGTGGTCAAGGTTCCCTATCTTCTACTCAGCAAGCACTGTCGTTAAGAGCAGACTCTGGAGCCAGACACCTTGGGTTCAGATCCTGGTCTCTGGCAATTTACTTGTCTGACCTGGGCAAGTTAATTAATCTCTCCCAATGGCTTCATCTATCCAATGGGTCTACAAATTGGAGCTACCCCATAGGGTTGTTATAAGAATTAAATAAGTTAATATTTACAAAATGCCTAGCAAGTTCCTGGCACCCAGTAGATAAGTGTTTTGCAATTAAATTACACTTCATAATTAAAGTGTAAGATCTCAGGGTTAGAAGACAGTGGAATACTGATGTGCAACAGAGGAGGAAATCTACTGCCTCTGAAATCATGACACCTGCGACCTTTAAGAAAATTCCACAGCCTTATCTGCAACCTGGGAATTTACAAGGGCGCCTGCTGGGTGCTCACTGAGCAGGGCCCTCCCACACCATAGGGACATCTCGGTAATTATAGGTAGATTTTTGGCAAAGCACACGAGGATGAGAACAGAAAATGCAAACCAATAGGACAGTGACTCAAGATTCCCTGGAAGACTTTTAAATCAACTTCATTTCAGCTAACTGGCAGCCAGTCACCCTTGGAAAGGAAGCAGTTTTTTTCTTTGAGGAAGAGTTTTCATTTGTACCAACAGGGATAAACAAAAGAGTTAACAAAAAACATTTCCACTTGAACTCATAAGGACTTTAAAATGCCTTTTTTAGAGAAAGTTCCTCTTAAAATAAAGCATGACTTTAATACAGAACAATTCGTAGTAGAAGATTCTCAAAGCGCTGGGACACTGCCCTATTCCACCACATTCACTTGAAAAAAAAAAAAAAAAGTAGTGATTATAAACAACAGTTCTGGAGAAAGATATGCCGGTTATAATCCGAGCTTCTCTATTTACTCACTCGCCTGGCTTCCTTGTTCTCACTTTTTTCATATGCAGAATGGAGGCTGCAGCAGTACCTTTCTCATAAATTGTAGGAAAATATACGAATTTCTAGAAAAGGACATAGAACAAATGATCAACGTTGGGGTCAAGTCAACCTTCTCTATCACGTCGACACTGAGTATCAGTACATCACTTTACATTGCTCCTTGCAAGTAAGAGTTGACACACTGGCCCAGGGACCTCGGATTCCGGCGTCCCGACGCGCAATTAGCATATGCAAACGAGGGGGCGGAGCCTCTGGTCCTGAGCGGGGCCTGCTCCGGCTCCGGCCAGGACTCCAGCGCCAGGATCCCCAGACGGCTGAGGGTGCTGGTCCAAGGGCTCGGTGACCCAGGGATGAGAGCGCAGGCTGTGACAAGCAAAGACACTTTCCTCTAGGTAAGGCCATCCCGGGAGATGAGCTAACTGGAGACAAGCCACCATTCCTGCGGTGCCTCCCCCTCTCTCTTCACCAGTTTCGGGTGCTCGGGCGGGTGGGTGCTGGGCTGCAGCGGGCCGGCCGATTCCCATGACTCGGCGACGTCACGGCCCGGTGCAGGAGCGCGGCCACACCTCCTGGTGGTGCATTGGTGGCGCCCCTGCCAGCCCAGCGCTGGGATTAGCCCACGTGGGCGTGGAGAGATCATCCCACGTTCAGCCATCTGGAAAAGCCGAGTGAGAGAACGCCTGATCCTGGCCAAGGGCCAGCACTCCTGGTTACGCCGGTGTTTACAGATTTTTACTGAAAGGAGACCTAAGCCCAGAATGCCCTATTCCTATCCAAGGACAGCCAAAAGGTCCTGGTGAGGAAGAGAAAGGGGACTTCGCCTCCCCGTGGAGGAAGTCATGCTGAATGCCGGGACTCCGGGAGGGACTACTTTAATTGAAACTAAAAGAAAACACAACCATACCTGACAGTAATCTTGCTGGAAATGATACCTAAGTCACCGAATACGGTGTATAACATCTATTTCACAAATCATTGCCAGTGCTATTAATGAACAGTAGGTTTAAACTTGAAGTTTATAGAGGGTGAAGGAAATAATGTTTTCTAAAAATATTCTCACCTAAAGGGTTTTGTTCCTAACAATACCAGAACACGCTGGGATCTCGTAAGGCAAAAGTGGTTTATTCATTAGGGCACATTTTTTACATGAATCAAAACATAACTATCTATCCAAATATGTTTTTCTTTAAATTGTCTTAGCAATAGCTAAAATTGACAAAAGTACTAATTTCGTTCAGTCGTTATTGATTGTTGGGTAATTGTAAATGCAATTCAAGCATAAATATGCAAAGATACATTTATCTGGCCTGCTACTGTTAGCAGTTTAAGTGAAATTTGTTTCTGGGTACCTTTCTGAAATGACTGGGTTATGAGTCCCCAACTACGTTAATTTTGGTGGAACTTGCCATGTGCATTTGCAGTAAGGGGGATGGGAAGGAAGCTTTGTTGCGCACGGTTTGCATGGGTTCAAACCCACTCGGCGGCACTGCAGAAGAAAGGCCTGGCAATCAGCTTCTGTAAAAATTACAGCCAAGAAAATCCTATGGAGCTCAGTTCTGCTCCAACACAAGGGGTCACTATGAGTCACAATCGACTCCATGGCAAGGGATTTGATTTTTATTATCTGCCAAGAACCAGCTTGGGCATGCCCTGAAGTTATCCACATTTTAAAAGGAGCTTTGGAAAGGTCAAGTACATGTCCCAGGTCCACAAGCAGGGATGGAGCCAGGAGGATGTGGGGCGTCAGACTCCAAAGCTGTGCCCTTTCCGCTAGACCACGCCAGACACTGCAAACCCAAACCTGGAGAGAAGGCAAAGAAACTAGCCTAAGGCTGGGAAAGTCTGCAATGAGATGCCAAAATATTAAAGCTGATTCTGAAAGTTAGCATTTATAGCAAATCAGTTCAATTCAGAGGAATGAATCGGAAGTTATTTGAATAGGCTAGAGGCAGGATGAAGGATAACTAGTGTTAACATTTTCGAAAAAGCACAAAGTCATGACAGATGTGAAAATGAGCGAGTGTGAAAGATTTGAACTAACTCCTCAGTGGGGAAACTTGTAAGGCTGTTACAACCAGATGAAAGGAAAATCCAAAGAATGGGCACATTTGTAGATCAAAAATGTTGAAATGGATGTGCAAATGGAGGCAAAATTGGTTCTTCCATGGGAGGAAGGGAAGAAGGTTGTCCCTCCCTCCATTGGATACAGTCATTTGGGTGTCTATAGACAAGAATTATTTTGCATTTCCATCAGACAAAAAACCCATTGCCATCAATCCTTTCCTACTTACAGCATCCCCATGTGTTAGAGTGGAACTGTTCCATACAGTTTTCTTTGCTGTCATCTTTACAGAAGCAGATCAGCAGGCTTGTCTTCCACAGAGCTGCTGGGTGGGTTCCAACTGCCAACTATTTGGTTAGCGGCCAATCGCAAACCACTTGCAGCTACCTACCATTAACAGAGCTGTAAAATAGCTCTAACAATGCAAGGTTTTTCCTTGAAGCACAAATTTTTCCCTACCCCAGTGCCTTTCTGTGGCTGGAACTCGGCCTGGACATGGTCCGTGGTGATTGAAATTCTATTTAAGCTGTCTTTCAGTTTATGGTTTGGTAATGTGTATTTGTCCTGATGCACCTCAGATTAGGTCTAACCACAACATACAGAGAATTAACATAGGCTGGGAGGGGATAATCACTGCATCAGCAAATGCCTTAGATGCACATCAAAAGGCATGCATGATACCACACATTGATGAAATGGGATCTGAAGTGTGTATTTTACAGATCATTACATCCACTCTTGGTCTTTGACCAAAAGCAAGCACATTCTATCCTGCATACTTACTACTTGGGCCTAGCTCATACCCTTGAAGTTGTATGGAGTACTTTATTTCATTGGAGATACCCTTCGGGGGTGAGAGACAGCACTGGGCGCTGACAGATAGGATTATGTGTGGGTGATAGGCTGCTTCTAACTCTGTGGTTTCTGAGATTCCAAGCCACTAAGCACAAAATTCTAGAAAAACTAAATTGGATTCCTTTAATAATAGTCTTCAGAGGAAGATGTTTTTGTTGAAGGCGTTTTTGTTCTGTTTACCTCCCCAATCATTTGTGTTTCAGAGAGATATGAATCTGCGTGTCTTTTTTTTTTTTTTAATGGGATTATAAAAGAGGATGGCCTCCGAAGGGGATGGGCTTCTGTGTATAAAACCATAGCTCTTGACAGCTAAGTCCTAGAGGAGGTGAACCGGAGAGATCCAGCTGAAAAGGGACTTGTGATCCACTTCCCCGCTGCTGGCATCAGGAAGGAGCAGAAGGTGAATTTCAAGGCAGGAAGCCCGGGACCTGGTTCTAGAGAGGAATAAACTGGGAGCAGGAACAGTAAGTCAAGCATCTGTTCATCTCTCTGGCTTGCTAGCAGGCAGTGAAGGGAGGGAGACGGAGGAAGTGGGGCCAGGTAAGCTCAGGGGCGTGATGATCCTGGCTGGTGCGGTAAGTTATATGGGGTCAGGTTTGTTGACCTGCCCTAGTTTTGACTTATGGTCACGGTTACCATTCTAGATTTTTCTGGTACAGACCTAATTTCAAAGAGCCTGTCCTGCTTTCAGATTAAATAATAGAGGCCTTGCCCTGCTGTGGAATTTCGAAAAACCGCAGACATTTCACCAGTAATTAAAGGCCAGGGCTTTGGGGACTTGTATGACACAGTAAGATGCTTTTGGGAAGAAGAGTAGGATTAAACTTTAAAAAAAAAAAAATTGAGGTATAATTTAGACACAATACAAAGTATAAATCTGAAGTGAAGAGTTTGAGTGTTCTATAATTGTATACACCCTCGCAACTATATCTGATCAAGATATAGGATATTTGCACAGAAAATTCCACTCAGTTCCCTCCCGCCCCCACCCCAGAGGCAGTGGCTGTCCTGGTTTCTGTCAGTGTGAATTAGTTGTGCTTGCTCTTGAACTTGGTGTCAGTGGACCCATAACAGTATGTTCTTTTTTGTATCTGAATTCTTTCACAGCATAATGCTTTTGAGACTATTTGTTTTGTTGCATGTATCAGTGATTTCTTCCCTTTTTTCACATTGTCTTCATTGAGGTCTAGTTTACTTATAATGAAATGCACAGATTAGAGCGTACAGTAAGTGAGTTTGGGCAAATGTATATAAGTGTGTAACCACAGCGACAGTCAAGATATACAGCATTGTCATCACCCCAGAGAGTTCACTTCTTCCTTTCCTCATCCCTGCACCCAGGCAACCACTGATGTAATTTCTTTCACTATAGACTAGTTTTGCTTGTTTAAAAACAAAACAAACAGCTGCCGTGGGGTCAATTCCGACTCATGTTGACCCTCTGTGTGTCAAAGTGGACCTGTGCTCCATAGGGTTTTCAGTGGATGATTTTTCTTTTTTTCAGAAGTCAATCCCAGGACTTTCTTCTGAGGCACCTCTGGGTGGACTTGAACCTATAACTTTGCAGTTAGCAGCCATTGCTTGTTCTAGGACTTAATATATAAATTGAATCATACATTTTTGTGTCTGGATTCTTTGGCACAACAGTGTTTTTGAAATTCATTTGACTTGTTGAATATGTCAATAGTTCATTCCTTTTTAGTGCTGTTTAGTATTCCTTTTTGTGAATATACCATATTGCTTATCCATTCCTCATTGAACGGACATTTCCATTGCTTCCCACTTTTCACTATTACGAATAAATCCGCTGTGAACTTTCTCGTACGGGTTGCCAAACAGTTTTCCAAAGAGGTTGTACCAGTTTACGTTCCCACAGGAGTGTCTAAGAATTCACTTGCTCAACAACTCAAAAGATTAGATAAGAATCTGTGAGTTTATGTTAATGGGGGAGGAACAATTCAGAAAAGAGGGTGAGAATAGTTGCACAACTCGGGGAATGTAGTCAACGTAGTTGAAATGTACGGGTAAAAACTTGAATTGGTGTATGTTTTGCTGTGTACATTCTCAGCAACAACAAAATAAATACAGTGATTAAAAAAAAAAAGAATCCACTTGCTCTACCACCTTGCCCTGGTGATACACTGGTTAAGCGCTCAATGGGAGAAGAGATCTTGCAATCGGTTCTCGTAAAGATTGTTGTTCTGCACCATCAAGTCTATTCCGACTCATAGTGACTCTACGGGGCAGAATAAAACTACCAGATCTTTCCGCTGTGGAGTGGCTGGGGGATTCAAACCGAAGACATTTCGATGAGTAGCCAGGTGCTTAACCACTGTACCACCAGGGTTCCTCCTTAAAGATTACAGCCTTGGAAACCCAATGAGGTAGTTCTACTGTGTCCTAGAGGGCCGCTGTGAGTCAGAATCCACTCTGTAGTACACAACAACGTTGCCAATGTTTGCTATGTCAACCCTT